TTGGGTAGGGGGACCACCCCTGTATCCCTTCCCCACCAAAAGCTGTTTTATCACTCAATAAAACTTCCCACCTGACTCACTTCCAGTGTTCAAGTATCTAATTCTTTCTGGTCTTGAGACAAGAACTCAGACCTAACTAAGCTACAGAGCAAAATTCTACATCACTAGGAGGAAAGAACGGATTCAGGGGCCAGGCCCAGGGCTCTACTGCCCTGCCCAGCCCCAAAACACTGTTCCCCACATCCTGGCTACTCTGGTTTCAGCCTTGGCTCAAAGGGTATAAATTACAGCTTAGGCCATCACTCTGGAGGGCACAAGCCATAAACCTTGGCAGCTTCCATTCAGTGTTAAGTCTGCAGGTATGCAGAGTGCAAAAGTGAAGGACACTTGTCAGCTTCCCCTTAGATTTTGGAGATGTATCAGAAAGCCTGAATGTCCAGGAAGAAGCCTGCAACAGGAGTGGCACTGAGAGTCCCTAATAGGGCAGTACAGAGGGGAAATGTGGGATTGGATGTCCCCCAGCAAGAGTCCCCACCAGAGCACTGCCAAGTGGAGCTATAGGAAGGGGGCTGTTGCCCTCCAGACACAAGAGTGATAGAGCCACTAGCAGTCTGCAACCTCAGCATGGAAAAGCCACAGTGGCAGAGCTTCCCAAGGCCTTGGTATTGGTGCCACTAGAAAGAGCAAGGTTGGCCCAAAATACCAGTGTACCCAGGATGTGGGACATGAAGCCAAAGGAGATTATTTTGGAGCTTTAAGACTTAATGTCTTCTCTGCCGTGTTTCAGACTTATACGGAGCCTGTTACACCTTTCTTTTAGCAAGTTTCTCACTTTTGGAATGGAAATGTCTACCCAATGCATGTACCACCATTATATCATGGGTGTAAACAACTTGTTTTGATTTTACATGTTCATAGGTAGAAGCAATGTGCCTTGAGTCTCAGATGAGACTTTGGATTTGATGAGTTAAGATTTTATGTACTATTGGAAAGGGATGATTCTGTTTTGCAAAGTGAGGAAGACATGAGATTTAGGGGATCAGAAGTGAAATGATATAGTTTGGATGTTTGTGCCCGCCAAATCTCATGTTGAAATGTGATCCTCAATGTTGAAGGTGGTGTCTAGTGGGAGATATTGAATTTTGGGTGAAGATATTTCATAAATGGCTTAGCACCATACCCTTGGTAATGAGTGAGTTTTTGCTCAGTTAGTCCACGTGAGATCTGGTTGTTTGAAGATGTCTGGAATCTCGGCTCTCTTGTTTGTTTGTTTTTTTTTTTTTCCTGTACTCACCATGTGATGCACCAGCTCTCCCTTTGCCTTCTGCCATGATTGGAAGCTTCCTGAGGCCCTCACCAGAAGTAGATGCCAGAAATATACTTCCTGTATGGCCTGGATAACTATGAGCCAATTAAAATTATATTCTTTATAAATTACCCACTGAATCAGAATCCTTGCAAGGAGGACAATAAACTTGTATTATCACTAACCTTCCCAGGTGTTTCTTACTCTGATCAACTTGGGGTTAGGAACCACTGAGCTGCATCACATCATTCCAAAGCCAAAACACAAAAGCAGACCAAGAGTATTTTCAATACAGTCTCTAAAATGCAGGAGAAACTTTTGCAGGAATCTAGAAATGAAGGAGACCCTGCTTGCTGGGCTCTTCTTAACCCTAGCCTCAGTACAGCAGAGACAGGAGTCCTTCAGGACTCATTCTTCAGACAATGACAGTCCAGTATTGAAAGAGTGGAAGCCCTAGTTTCAAATTCAAGCTTGCTTTGAGTTAAAATTAAGTTTACCTCTTTTGGCACAGCAACAGAGCCAATCTTCTGCAAACTGCTCACTTTACAAGAAAAAAAAAAATCATACTTCAAACTAAGATTCAAACTTCAGCAGACATGAGTAAGTAAAAAAGTCTTATAAATCTATTCCAGCCACATAACAAGAAACCAGACATTTAGCAAGTTCTTTCATGTTCAGGACATTTGTTTTTTTGTTTTTTTCTCTTTTATTTTTTGTTTTGTTTTGTTTTGTTTTTTTGAGACAGAGTCTCGCTCTGTCGCCAGGCACCAGGCTGGAGTGCAATGGTGCAATCTTGGCTCACCGCAACCTCCACCTCCCGGGTTCAAGCAATTCTCCTGCCTCAGCCTCCCCAGTAGCTGGGACTACAGGCATGTGCCACCATGCCCAGCTAATTTTTGTATTTTAGTAGAGACGGGGTTTCACCATGTTGGCCAGGATGGTCTCAATCTTTTGAGCTTGTGATCCACCCACCTCAGCCTCCTAAAGTGCTGGGATTACAGGCGTGAGCCACCGCGCCTGGCCAAGGACATTTGTGTTCACTAGATCAGAGGCGCTGAGACATGAAGAAAAGACCCCCTAAAAAGGGAAAGCATTCCTTCCTGTCCTAGGACATCACAGCCAACCTCAGAAAAGTGGGAACCCAGCTCTCTGCTCTGTGGTATGAGTTGCTTTTGTATCTGGAATGTGTCTGACATCCTGAGACCTGGACCCATTTCAGGGAGTTTTGGGAGGAGTGTGAATCACTGGGAATCAGACAGTGTGTGGAGATGGTTCAGCAGGACAAGGGTAAGTGGAGGAGCATGGCCAAGTCACACTGAGAGACAATGAGCAGCGCTGATGGGGATAATCAAAGATTAAAAACAAACATTTGTGCTTCCACTTCAGAAACTGAAACCAGTAACTAATTTGCTCTTATAAGTAATAACAAGTATTTTCCTATTTACGTAAGAATTTAATCTCAAAACAGAAATTAGAAAAAATATTAAGTCCAGGACATAAAACTTAAACTATAGCTGAAATTTATTCTTTCTAAATAGAACCAAGAGTAAAATCTTCTCCATAAAATATATATCGTGGTTATAAAAAGGCCAAAGTCTTAATGAGAATAATGGCTATTCAACAGAAGAGTGAATTAAATAGAATCTAGGGCAAACCCAAGTCTCATACTTCTTTTGTATATTCCAAAGTTCCAGTGAAATTCCAGGTGAGAGACTGTTTCCTACACTGTTAAAACAAGGTGCAGACACTTGTGAATTTTGGTCCCAATACTCTAGGAGGACACACCTAGTCCTGGAAAATGATACAAGAATGAATATTCTCCTCATGACTCATTCTCGTCATTCTAATGAAACCACAGAAACAAAAGCATGACACTATGGTCAAATACATGATTTGCTAGCCTTCTTCTTCAGGTTTTTTTTACCTGTGTCTTACCTGTTTTTTCCCTGTTTTCTTACAGATGATAACACGACGTTACCTGTCTTCTTCAGGTTTTTTACCTGTTTCTTACAGATGATAACATGACCTTAAGGATTATGATGAAAATATGATATCCAACTACACTTTTAAACAAAATGCCTAGTACAAATTCGAAGTTAATAATTATGGAATAATTATGTGAATCTACTGAATTATATGGATTTTATGAACAATTTCTGAATAATTATTGATTGCCTTTATTGGCAGCGCTTAAAACTCATCGCTGGGTGACCTCAAGTAAACCCTGTAACTTTGTGAACCTGCAGTTTCATCATTTGTAAAATGAAAAAAACTTGAGAGCTTTTCATTCTGGCACAGAATGTCAGGTCTCCCAGACACCAGAAAATAGATGTATTTACAGCCTCTGATACATCACAAAGCACTGTCATTACACAGCGTAGCTGGAGGATGGTGCAGGCTGCTGAGAGGCAGGTTTTCAAATGGGATTGACCTAGTCCTTCTTCCTTCACTTCTACCTGAATGCTGGGTCATTCTAATGACCTATGTAACACTCATTGCGCCTTCAAGTCATGCAAGTCCAGCAGCCAAACTTAGGAGACCTGGGCTACGGGACAATTTCCCAAGTCCTAGCCTCACAATGTCTAGGTGAGGAAAAAAGCTGAGAAAGTGAGGAGGTGGTTCCCTGCTCATCCCTCTCATCCCAAACTCAGCTTCTACTGCACAGGAACACTGAGGATCATCAACCACCCCGACCATGACCATGATCTTGCCAGGTTGTTAGTGGAAGGCAACAACATATCAATGGTGTTATATCATATATATATATATATATATATATATATATATATATATATATATGGATGTCTCCAACAATATTCCGTAAGAAGTGTTCACGGCCCTGTTCCTTTTCCTTTCAATACATGGGAAAACTAAATGAAAACAACAAAATAGCAACAGGTTTACAAGACTTCCCAAAATATAAGTTCAAACATGTTTTCAGGGGCTATACACAAATGATTTTGATCATTTGATACCGTGAAAAGAGCTCTTGTGGGACCAGAATAAATATTGGTAAGTGACAAGTATAAAACAAGTGTTCAGTGATATTAAGGAAACAAATCAACCTGCAGAAAGAGGTAGAGCTGTGCACATAGGGATGTGAACTGGTCTTAAGTGTAATGAAAAGCCAAGATGCTGCCTTAGTCAAAGAAAAGAAATCAACATATTAATGGGATGCAGCCAGGAGAATACTGAGCCAGGGGAAAAAATATTTTTAAAAATAAATTATTGATGAACTTTTCAGTAGGTACAGAAAAAAAAAAAAAAAAAAAAAGCAGAACCCAGAAGATACCATGGTGGTTTAAAAGTTTGATACCTTTCATTTGTGGAAAAGCCTTAAGATCTGTTTTAACTTAGAGAAGGTGGGGTGACTTCCTGACTAGCACTAAGAAAATGTAACCATTTGGGAAACTATCTGTACCTCGATGATTTTATACACACACAAGATGGAAAACAAGAAATATGCTTAGATGTACTGAGAAAGAGGTGAGTCTGTAGCATTGTCACAAGGGTGCACAGATACTGAGAGTGACTGGTGAAGAAATGGTCCCCATCAGTGACTGTCGGGTGAGACCAGGGGACTTTGGGTTTCAACACAGCCTGGGCAATTGGAATGCAGGGCTCCTAAGATTCCATGACACCCCCACCTTCTAATTCTGTTATTGCAACTGCAGACGGTTACCTGGCACGCTGGCTGCGACCCACCTCACTCTTGTCAGAGGCAGAGCTGCAGGCAGTGACTTCAGCTCTGAGCTCAGGCCTCATAAACGCTGGTTTTGTGGTTAAGGATCAAGTTCTTCTCAACCGTAAGTCAACAATTCCAGCTGTTGTCATCCCTCAGTCCTGAATAAACCTAGTTGATTTCACTAGTTTTTGACCCATCATGTGCTTGGGTTTCTTTTCCCCAGTCCCTGTTTGAACTCATCCGCCACAAATGTCAGCATGGTGGTAACTGCCGCACATTTGTTCCGTGACAGGGCAGAGATGAAAATCCTAGAAATCAACCAGGAATTGCGCCTCCGGCTGGCAGAGAGCCAACAGCAGTTCAAAGACCTCAAAGAGAAATTTCTTATAAGTCAAGCTACTGTCTACTCTCTGGCTAAACAACTTAAGAAATACAGTAAGTTCTATAGATTCACCATCACGAAAGTGATGAATCAGCACCTGTCTTCCCTCTGAGACACTGAACGTTCTCTTCATTAAAATTAATTTCATCCTTTCCTTAGTTCTAGGAAAACAGAAATGGGTATTTTCACTTCATTGCGTTAAGGATGGAAAACAGAGGCACAACATATTTAGCAGCTTTTCCACGTGAGCAGTCCGATGTGAGGTGGGACTCGAGTGAAAATCCCGCTTACTGACCTCTGTCACAGGCACAGGACCACTTGCTTTCCTCAGCAAGATGCTCAATCATGTTTATGAGAACGCTCTCTGTACCCTAGAAGATCCTGCAGACAAATGGCATCTAGTCTGTTGGTCTAAATGTCTGCAACCAATGAACTGCCATTCAGTTTAAACTTCTTTGAGGCCCTACAGGCAAATCTCTCTTCAGGGAACCCTGGGGGAAACATGGCGACAGTACAGAATACCTGGTCTAAGGAGCTTAAAGACGAGGCTGCTTCTAATAGTAACGGTGTCATCCATAAGTGACAGCATGAAAAGCAGGGAGTACCCTGGTGAGAGGGAAGTCCTGCTTCCTGGGGTACAGGCTCTTATTCTAAAGAGGAAGAAAGACGGCACATAAGACATTGTGGAGGTGGCAGTGCCGTGTGCAGAGCAGGAAGCCTAGGCCAGTCTCCTGAGCTCCAACCAAGTTCTGTCTCCTCTGTGCCTCAGTTTCCTCATCTGTTCATTGGGTACTGTAATAATACCTACCTCTGTAAATTGCTGCAAGATTTACGTGACCTGTTTCTTCTAATTCTCCTAGAATAATTCTTGGCACAGAGTAAACACTATCTATTAGTTCTTCATTCTACTGTTTCTAACTTAATTCAAACTTTATTAGTATTTGGTTGTATTTCTATGATGATCTCAGGGTCTTATGCCTCATATTTTACATAATTATATTCAGATATGATTTTTTTAAATCTTTGACATATTTGTGCTTGAAATTCCCAGTGCCAGGGAATCCATGAGTCCCATAGTCCTAAGGGCCTTTCCTGCTGTACAGGATATCACTACTTCATGCCCTAGTAGAGTGTTTGACAGGAGAGGCTGCACGGCTTGGGAAAGTGTCCCAGGATTCAGAGCCAGACCTCAGGGCCTGTGAATTCTGACTCTGCCTCATTCCAGGTGAATCAACTTGTCAAGTCACTTGATGTACCATTGAGTTTCTTTTTCCCCATCTCCAAGTTGGAGAGTATCAGATGCCAGAAAGTTGGGAGGTTGATAATTAAAAATGAGGGAATCCCTCACTACAGTCTGGTACGGGGGATGCTTTTGTCCTTGGAGTGGACACTGCCACCTGCCCTGTAGGCAGTGACCACACCGGCATGTCCAGCTTTCTACTGAGGCAGGCGTGACTGTCTTTTCTCAGAGTGTGAAGAGTACAAAGACATCATAGACTCTGTGCTGAGGGATGAAGTGCAGTTCATAGAGGAGAAGTTGGCAGAGAAGCTCAGGCAAGCTGAGGAGCTCAGGTGAGCAGACGCTGTGGGGACAGGCAGGTGGGCAGGGGTGTGAATCTCTGAAGTGTAGCAGTTCAGCTGGGAGAACTAAGAGCTAAGCTGGGCCAGGACAAGGGCAGGCATTTACCTGCCAGGCACATTTCATACAAATATTCATAAAGCAGAACAGTAATCTTAGCAAGTTATGGGTTACAGTTGTTTCTTGAGCTTTGATTTCTCTTTTTAAAACAACTAATTGTCTAATTGAAATTTGCATAACCAAAATTCATTAAAAGAAGACGAACCACCCAGCAGCATTTAATACCCTCAAAATGGTGTGTGATCACCACCCCATTTTCTCGCAGTCAGAGTCACCTCCTGACTGGCCGCAGCAATTCATTCATTCAATCAATATTGCCTTCTTGACCTGTCATTCTTTTCTCCTTTCATCTTGCCAATTCACCCTATCTGCACCTGGCCATATTTCTGTGCATGGCTTGTTTCCAGTCACTGCAAGATGCACTATGTGAATTTTCACATAGAAATGTCCATGGCCAAAGTGAGGAACTGAAAGGACATCCTTTTGCAATTGATTTAGGAAGGCACTGCCTTTGGTTTACAGAAGAAAAAAAACGAATGGAACATCTTAAAGGATCTTACAGGAGCTCTCTCTGATACAGAGAAAGCCTTTATTTAAATATATATTTGATATCTATATATTATATAGATAATTTTTTTTCTTTTTTTCTGAGATGGAGTCTCATTTCTGTCACCCAGGCTAGAGTGCAGTTACACAATCTCAGCTAACTGCAACATCCACCTCCAGGGTTCAAGAAATTCTCCTGTCGCAGCCTCCCAAGTAGCTGGGACTACAGGCATCCTCCACCATGCCTGTCTAATTTTTGTATTTTTAGTAGAGACAGGGTTTCACCGTGTTGGTCAGGCTGGGTTTGAACTCCTGATATCAGTTAATCTGCCCGCCTCGGCCTCCCAAAGTGCTAGGATTACAGACGTGAGCCACCGCGCCCTGCCTAAAAAAATGTATATATGTATATACATATATAATTTCTCTTGGCCTCAGGCACTTCCCCAAACATGTTGTGACCTTCTACTTGGAGGGCTCCATGGGGATATTCTCACATAAACCTTTGTTTCAGTATTAGAACTGATCACCCATCCCTTTCCGTTATTAAACGTTCTCTGCTATCTCACCATAGGCAATATAAAGCCCTGGTTCACTCTCAGGCAAAAGAACTGACCCAGTTACGGGAGAAGTTATGGGAAGGGAGAGATGCCTTCTGCTCACTGAATAAGCATTTCAAGGCCCTCCTCACTCCTGATGACCCTGACAAGTCCCAGGGTCAGGACCTCCGAGAGCAGCTGGCTGAGGGGTGCAGGCTGGTAGAGCGTCTTGTCAACAAGCTCAGTCCAGGTAAGGTGGACACAGGCCCTGATGACACACACACACCCAGGTTTATCAAAGTCCCCCGACCGCTGCACCTCCACAATGACAATTTTATCGGTAATGTTTCTTTCCACTGAAAATTTGTAGCCATGACATGACAAGGACTTGCTGGGTAAAAAGAGAGATGGGAAACTCATGGGGTTGGAGGTCACAGTATTGCAAATGTCTCCTCGTTTCTTGCTGGAAAGTGGTCTTTGAGGCAAAAGGCAGCATCCGTCCAGTTTTAAAGGACAGGAAGGAGGATGTGACAGGAGGCAGCTTGTTAGAGTAAAAAGAGCCCTGGACTAAGAATGAAGGTTCCCAGGCTCTATCTTCAGCAGTGTCTTTTGCAACTGTGGGGAACCGATTAATTTATCCTTCCTGAGTTCCTGTCTCTAAATCTGTAAAGGCAGGCAAACTGTCTCTTGCATTCAAATGTGGGAACACTTACGACTATATTTCAAAATGAGATAAAGCCCCTTGCCGTGTGGTGTTGGAGAAGGCACTTAATGTGGGGGCATTTGGTAGTAGGAAGTGATCTAGACTGGAGCACTCCCCATGGAGTGTCCCTGGATAGCACAGTGGAAGTCTCTTGGAGGGCCCATGAAGTCCCCAATGTATGGAGTATGATGGGACAAGTTTGTTTGTCCTGTCCTAAGAGAAAGACACAGTTTTTAATGCAAGCTGTGACAGGACACAGAGCCTGTGCCTGGGTATGAGAACTGTGGCAGAATTGGGGAGATAGCTGCTGAAGCTTAGAGAGAGGCTGGGCAAGCCTCTAGTAATATGGGGAGCAAGGAGTCTTTTCAGTATTTGGCCACAAATTGATGGTGACCCTCCAGTTCAGAAACACGTTCCCTCATGGATCAGGAGAACTTGCCAGGCACTTTTCAGAGATAAACAGGAGAGTTCAGTACAATGCAGAGAGTTCAGTACAATGAATATGGATGTTCATGTCTCAGTGCACATAGGGCTAACTGTGCTTCCAGTGGGTGAAGTGGGGAATTTCTGAATAGACACTTCTGTATTTCCAGAAAATGATGAAGATGAGGATGAAGATACTACAGATGAGGAGACTGAGAACATACAGGAATCACCTGCTCCCAGGTAACACTGAATAGTCAGGAGTGGGTAATGGGTGGTAAAATATGGAAAAGGTCTCAGAAAGAACACAGGTAGGTGAAGGTAGTCACAAATTCCAGATGCAGGATACAGATAGCTGCAGAGTGCACTGATTTCATGAATTAATCAACAAGGAAATAGCGCTGTTAACATACTCGTCCATTGTCTCCATGGTACCTGTAAGCATGACCCTCGATGAGCTCACTAGCCTTGGGGACTTCCTGCACACACAGAGGAGACCTGTCGTCTCCTGTAGTGAAAGCCAGGAGGAGATTCAAAGCCACTTATTACATGGTTGTCTTTAGACTCTTGTTAGGGAAGAGAAATAGCAAGGAGGCAACCAGCAGAGGAATTAGGAACACCTAGCAAAGTTAAACACCAAGAAAAATACCTAGAAAATATTTACATTTCACATCACAATGTTAAGATTTAGAAAAGAAATCTAGAAGGCACACCATCTCTGGAGTATACCATGGCTCAGACACCTGTATTCTCTTGGCCACAGTATGTTAAACGCAATCCAACTTAACACACATGATGTGGCAGCTGTTTTTGGTTCTGTGTGTGTGCTGTCAAGACAGTACCATACAGAAGCAGTTGAGCCTCTGCCTTCCTCAGCTCCTGTCTGTCCAGTGCAATGAACACCAGCTGCTCTCTTCCTCTCTGGTTCCCATGGCAGCCATGCTCTCTTGCAGAGAGAGGAGAATTGCCTGTTCCCTCTTAAACAGAAAGTCCCCTTTGCTTTCTGGGACCACTACCTTATGCCTCCCGTCAAAACCAGCTGGGAATTCCTGGGGTCCAGTCCCTCTTGGTTTAATCTTTGTCATCTCTATCCTACCTGGCTCATCAGGGAGGTGCAGAAGACTGAGGAAAAGGAAGCCCCTCAGGACTCACTGGAGGAATGTGCTGCCACTTGTTCAAACAGTCACGGCACTTCTGACTCCAACCAGCCTCACAGGAGCGCCAAAGTCACATTTAAGGGAGACAAAGTTGACTCTGTTCTGGTTGTAGACAGTGAATGCTCTCAAGATGAAGGGGAGGAAACTCCAAACATTCTCCCAGGTAGCCTCTGTATTCTTTGTCCCCCGTACCTCTGCCTAGGCTGAGGAAGATCAATTTTGAGGATGGGTCGTATACATACACATTGGTTTGAATCAGAAACTAGGACGAAGCTGGGTGCAGTGCCTCACATCTGTAATTTCAGCACTTTGGGAGGTCCAGGTGGGTGGATTATTTGAGTTTGGGAGTTCAAGACCAGCTTGGGAAATGTGGTAAAATCCATCTTTACAAAAAATTACCCAGGCATGGTGGTGCACATCTGTAGTCCCAACTATTCAGAAGACTGAGGTAGGAGAATCATCTGAGCACAGGAAGTTGAAACTGCAGTGAGTCATGACCGCACCACTGCACTCCACCCTGGGTGACAGAGAGAAACCCTGTCTCAAAAAAAAAAAAGAAAGAAAGAAAAGAAAAAGAAAGAAAGGAAGGAAGGAAGGAAGGAAGGAGGGAAGGAAGGAGGGAAGGATGGGAGGGAGGGAGGGAGGAAGGGAGGGAGGGAGGACTAGGATGGAAGGTTAAATACCGATATCAGTGGGTCTGATGGCTTTCCACTTCTCCCTGGCCCCAATATCAGGTTACTGGACCACAAGCAGGTATGACTAATTCATAGCCACCTGTGTAATGGAGCTGCACGGGAGGTGTCTGTCAGGCCTCCTAGCTCAGTTCCTATGTCTCTTGTCCCCTGTAATGATGTAATCTGTGCCCCTGCACAATGTCCATGGAGTTTCTATGCTTGCCCACAGCCACTGACAGTCTTGCCTATGTATTTGGAGATATTGTTTCCCTGATTTCACTCTTCTCGGCCTCAGTCGTGGTCTCCATTGAGTCAGATTGTCCTAGCTATGCAGTCAGCTTGATACCAGGAGGTATATAAATAAAATATCTCTTACAATTCATCGACAAGAATATATGATGAGATAAATCACTATTGCAGCAATACTTCTGGAGAGTAGTTAGGACCATTTTTGAAGATCATGGGAAAAAATTGTTTAATTGTTTGCACAGACTTAGGTCAGAAAATATGGTATTATGATTTTAGATGAGGTAGATTCTGTCCCATGGGTCTGGAAAGCAGGCTCATCTACTTCTGACAAGACTTCATCTAGAGTACATTAGAACCTTCCTGTCAGAATATCATAGTCTTACACTGAGGATATTTATGTCCTTGTGCTATGACTGGACACTGAGTTGGTCTTGTTGAAGTGTGATTTGCTTACTGTGACTTGCTCTCCTAAATTTCTTTACAGGAAATCAATATGATCATGAGGAAGAGGAAGGAAAAGTGCCAGTGCCCCTCAGGTAACTGTGAATTTATGGGCTGTTAGCTCAATAGTGACACCTGAGGGATCCAGGGGAAAATAGGACAGGAAGTAATGAATAGAACCGTCTCATCCATTCATCCAAAAAATCCCTCTCAAGCATAGGAATGGACAATCAGTTGAGCCAGGTGAACTGACCAAATTCAGGGATTTCCTGACCTCACCTGATGTCTGCCTCTTTGGCATTATCACCATGTTTACAAGTATTGAATAGCAGGAGAGTGAATGAAAATAACTCATATCCTGCTCACAGTTTTGAGAACAAGTGATGTTGAGGATACAGGAACTCCTTCTGTGAAGATTCAAGAACCCGTATTCATTTGGCCTCTGATGCTAACGTCAACAAAATGTATGTGGAAATGCTGAATGCACTGTGTCCTGGCAGTTTCCCACAGGGATCCCTCCATCTCCTTCCTCCTCAGCTCATTGTCTGCCCAGTGCACTGAGCACCTGCCGCTCTGTCTCCTGCTTGAGACAGGGAAGGATGGTTATGTCTTTCTGAGGGGACTGTACTAGGCTTCCTCTGCCCCCTCCTGTGGTCCTCCCTATAGAACCAGCTGGGCACAGTGGTTTTGCTGCTCTCCAGTGTTTATCTTCTGTCTTCTTTCCTCCAGGCTGAGCAGGGAGCTGCCAGAGGTAAAGGAGCAGGAAGTCCCAGAGGACTCCTTGGATGAAATTTACTTGACTCCTTCAGTTCACCGTGACCTGTCTGACTGCCACCAGCCTTATAACAGCACCTTGTCCTCACTGGATGATCTGCTCGCATGCTCTGCTCTGGATGTAGACTGTGAGTACTCCAGCCTGAAGATCACAAAGCTCCAGTGCCTTCCCAGGCAGCCTCCATAGGTTTTGTTTCTGCAACTTGTGTAGCTGAGCCAGACCGTCCATGCAGGCAGGCCCTGTACACTGAGCCTGTTTTGAATCTGGCTCTGGGATCCAGTTTTGATCACTTAACATCCAGTGGGTGAACCTTCCTTTACTCCTGTCCCAAGTGACTCCTCTGTCACCAGGCTTCTTCTTGCAAGAGCAGGCTGTGGGCATAAAAACTGGAAAGGGATTAGGGCTATTAGCAAGTTCTTGCCCACAGTAGCTCATCTGGACATATTTGCATAACAAATCTCCTTTAAGATAGGGCATCTCTTCTTTCTGAAATTATGTTGCTAACTGCATGCCTTAAACAGTGCCCTTATTTCTTCTCTGACCATCCACACATGCAGGAAGTTTTGCACAATTATCTGGAGGCCTGTTTTATGATTCCTGTGTCTCATACTGGATTCTCTACATCACAGATCCCCAACCCAGGGGCCATCCATGGACCCTTGTGGGTCCATGACATGTTAGGAAATAAGCCACCCAGCAGGCGGTGAGCAGTGGGAGAGCATTACTGCACGAATTCCACCTCCTGTCAGATCAGCAGTGGCATTAGATTCTCACAGGAGCTCGGACCCTATTGTGAATTGTGCATGCGAGGGGTCTAGGCTGTGCACTCCTCATGAGAATCTAATGCCTGATGATCTGTCACTGTCTCCCAGTGACTGTCACACCCAGAAGGGAACATCTAGTTGCAGGAAAACAAGCTTAGGGCTCCCACTGAGTCCACATTTTGGTGAGTTGTATAATTATTTCATTAGATATTGCAGTGTAATAATTCTAGAAATAAAGTGCACAAAAAATGTAATGTGCTTGAATCATCCCAGTCCATCCCTGCTAACCTTGTCCCCGAAATATTATCTTCCATGAAACCAGACCCTGGTGCCAAAAAGGGAACTGCAGCTCTACTTCCTCTGCTGTCTCTTCCCTCCACTGATGCAGTCAAGCATCCCTTCCTTTATGCACAGCAAGGAAGGCTTGCATCCTCTGTAGAGCTACAGTGTTTTTTTTTCTATGTATGGGTTTCTTGTTTCAATCAAGATTTGGTCTCAGTGCTATATTCTCATGAAAGACATTGCGATCTAGTGTCCCTCATGAGGTACTGGCCTAACTGACGAACAAAGCAGAGCGGTTCCTGTCCCCAGGATGTCCAGAAAACCCTTGCTCTGAGCAAGGGCTTCTTGGTGTAGCAGCTTCATGGATATGTAGAGAAAAGTTTCAATTTTCATTTCTTCTTGCTCATTGTGCTTCTTTAATTCCACTCTGGGAGCTTCATCCATCAACTCATTTTCTAGGAAGAGCAAGTAACTCTGAGATGTACCCCAGCATATCTGATTATGCTGTAATAAAATTAACAACAATGCCAGGTGCGATGGCTCATGCCTGTAATTCCAGCACTTTGGGAGGCCGAGGCAGGTAGATTGCTTGAGCTCAAGAGTTTGAGATCAGCATGGGTAACATCATAAAAACATGTCTCTATGAAAAATTATCAGGGCATGGTGACACACACCTGCATTCCCAGCTACTTGGGAGGCTGAGAGGGAAGGATCACCTGAGCCTGGGAAATTGAGTCTGCAGTGAGCCATGATTGCACCACTACGCTCCAGCCTGAGCAACAAACTGAGACTCTGTGTCTCACACACACACAAAGAAAGAAACTAGCAACAACAATGTTGGCCTCTATTCTGTTTTGTTCAGTGAGTGCCTTTCCTGCTGGGATCATCCCCTTTCCCATTTTGTATTTCTCCATGAATTTGAAAAAGCTAATACTTTTCTAGGATCACAGAAGTTCATGAAACACAATATACATTGGCCTTGCATCTGCTGTATGCCCTGACCCTTGCCGAACAAGCTCTGTCCTGCTATGAAACATTCAGGGCTCAAGAAATGCAGCAGCATTTCCCTGTTAGAGCTGAGGATGCTGGGGCTCTGGAAAGTTCCCTGCACTTGTCCAGGATGCCCCAATTAGTTTTGGTGGGAACATAAGCCCCTTGCCTGCCTGACTCCATGGCCCAGTTTCTGTCATTTCTCTGTGTGGGGACCTGTCAGGTACTGAGCCACTGTGGGTGCTCGCCCTTTTCCTTTTGTAGAAATTATTTTGGAACAAAGTCAAGTTGAAACAGAAAAGTTGCTGGACTGGTATAAAGAACTCCTGCAGCCCCTGGCACAGACTTCTCAAGAAGGATTACCTCTGTGCACTTTGTCCGTGAGCAGAATCAGTGGCTCCTCCAGTTCCTTACAGCTCCCACAGGCCCTCCCTTGGAAAAGCACTCAGAGGATGGAAGGTCCTAGTCTCTCCCCACCCCCTGCCCCCAGGGTTTTGACTCTCAACTCGGCCATGCTGGATCCCCGTAAATCTGTGGAGCTGCATCTCATGAACACCCCAGCCAGGATGTTGCTCCTATAATAAGAAAGGGAATTGCTCTGACGCATGTCTCAGAATTGAGATGCCTGTGATGTGGGCCAGCCCTGCCAGGGCAGCAGGAGACCTGAGGCCACATTCATCTAGGCAAACGGTCCGAGATGAATAAATGTGCCCTTCAAATTACACAAGGATGCTTCCTGTGTGTGGCTTCACGATAATAATGTATGAATAGTGTGTATAATGCACAGCCCTGACCCCAGCAGCCGTGTCAGGGTGGATCTGCTCTGCTCATCCTCTTCCTGCAGAGAAAAGCTTGGTAGATTTAGAAAGAATGCAACCTAAATTATCACTTGATCTTTTATCGCAGGCTTTCCTAACCCCCCCCAATTAACAATACCACAGTACTTCAGGAGTTTGAAAAAAACTTTTCCTTTTATATCTGAAAATGTAAATATTCACAGTATAAGTTTAATAAGACTCAGTAGTCTAGAAAAGAGGGATAAAATGACACGAGAACATTAAGTAGTGAGAATCAAAGACATTCACAGAGCTTGATTCTAAATAGCAAGTACAGAGAATCAGAAAGGGAGAGACGTGTTTGCCCAGCCTTCATCAGCCAGATTTTTTGTTTCAGGATGTTTTCCTCATTTGCTCAATATAAGGTATCTTAAAATGTGAGAGTGTCCTAAGTGAGGGTTAATCATCAGTAAAGTGTGCCCTGAGCAACTAGGGATGCCAAACCTAGCTGAGAGAATGGCTCCTGGACAAAGACCACAAAGCTGGATGGCACCTGGTGCAGGGTGGGCCATGGAGGTATCAGCATGACTCCAGGGAGAATCTGTTTTGAGCGAGTGGTGGGGGGCGATGCTAGATGGGAATGTGGGGCAGATGTTAGAAGGAGCACAGAGGCGGGGTGAGGGGGATAGTCACCTGGTGGGCAGTGGAGAGAAAGTTTTCAGATGCAGAGTGGGAACATGGTAAGAACAGGGCTTCTGGGTGATAAAACTGCTGAGACAATTGCTAGAGTGGAGATGGCAGAATCAGAGAAAGCAGAGACGGAGCGTGTATGACACCAGGCATCAGTGATGAGAGTCTGACACCCTGTGCTCTCAGGGAGATGAAAGAGAACAGACACATGGAAGACATTTTTTAAAAAACTTAGAAAACCTTGGAGAGAATGAGGATGTGGAGAGGCGAGGAGAGAGAGGAGCCCCTCAGCAATGTGGATCTGGCCCTGTAGGCGCCGCCCCTGTCCTGAGCCTGACATGGCCTGGTGTAAGGTCATTGGGAGACTTTCCTTAGTCCACTCTGAGAATGTGCAGTCCTCTCCCTGTGGAAATAGAAATAATTTGTCTTCCTGAACCCCACTGGAGGAGTGGGTAATGTGAGGACTGTGCCCTGTGTTACCTTCCTAAGGAACTGCACATGCTGATCTGTAGCTCTTACGGCTTCTGAATTTCTGCCAAGGGAGTGGTCCATCTACTACATTGCCTATGGCTGCTGGCACCCACTCTATGGCAATAGGATGCAGATGTGTGGGCAGGGGATTAAACCATTATAGGCAATGGCAAATTCAAAATGTCCCAGATCCCCGAGAAGTTTGCCTCACTTAGTGTTTGGTCTTCCTCATGGCTCTAACTCTTGCCCTGTTCTTAAACACTTGTATTGTGGAGAATAGCTCCTCTTCTCCTATGCTCTGAGGACTCTCTAGAACTTTCCCTCTTGGCACAGGAAAGAGATTAATAATGACAGACTAAGCATCATGACCTTGTTAGCCAATCCAACGTTCTCTGGGCTGAAGAAGGGTTTTTTTCCTTCAGGAACATCCCAGCCCTGGAACTCCAGCCCATGCCAGCATCCCCAGGCACAGAAAGGAAAGGTGACATCACCTACACTGATGTGATGTGTGTCTGTGTGGCCTGGGTCACTGGGTGGCTTTATTGAGAGGCAAGGACAGCAGCGATGGGTGTTCTGGGTGTGCTTCACAAAGGGAAAACTGAGAATATTCCTACTGAAGCCCCTTCTCCTTTCAGATCCCACCCAGGAGGCCTGTCCCCAAGGGACTTGCAGTGGTGACTTGAGCTACTGCTTGTCAGAGGTGCAGGCTTCACAGACACAGCTGGAGCCAAACACCCTGATGACCAATTGTCTGCAACTACAGCTGGATCAAGGGTTCGACTTCAGGAATGGCTTAGCCGGGCAGGGCCTTTCCTCCACCGCCTGCAGCTTCACAGCCAATGCTGATTCTGGGACCCAATGTCCCTTTCAAGGTAGGGAAGGAAAGGGGAATAAGAAGGTCTAGTTCAGGTGTTGGTGGTCACGGTGCTGTGGATGGAGGAGAGAATGGGACCTCTCTATGCCCACTCAGGGTCAAGTTGAAATCCGTGATGCTCCAACCCAGTGAGGTGAGCAAGAGCCTGGGGCTTAGGACAAAATCTGCTCTCAGGTCCTGGGTTTGCCTCTTTCTGGTTGTTCACTTTGCCCAAAGATTTTGTCTTTTTGGGGTGTAAATCTGTTTCCTCATTGCAGCTACCTTAAAAATAATATCTACCTGTCATCATTGTTGAGAGTATTAATTATTATAATTTCCAAAGGGACTGATTCAATAACAATTGCTAAATAAACCTATAAGTAGCTGTTATCTAATCCATTTGTCTTCTGCCAAATTTACATTTAGAAAGTGACTTCACAGACTACATCTTCTCTGAGGTAGAGCAATTGTGAAGCTCTCTGTTTTCTAGAGACCCCTCTTCCTTTCCTTTCTCACACACACTCCTCTGCCAGTTTTCTTCCTCTCCTTCCCCATCCCTCATGAAGCCAATTTCCACTATCAGGAACTTTCAGTAACAACCTGTGAGGTACATTCAGTAACAGTGTAAATCCTGGGCTTACAAGTCACTCTCATGACATGTCTAACTCCTTTTTTTTCTGCTCTTTTTAAAAACAAAGGGCAACTTTCACATGGGAAGTGTTCACAGCGGTGTCTTTTATGAAACTCCATTTAGTTCTCATCTCCACTCATGTCCACGGCCATATCCTCAGTTTCCATCTCACAGGGATCCAGTTCTGCTCAGATTTCCCTAAAACCCTGGGTCGTGTTCATCTTCACTCTCTGTCCTACACAATATCTCGTCCTGGAGCCCCTGGGGCTGCCTGGTGCTCATCTGTCAGGCGATGCCCTCAGCTGAGGAATGAGGGGACCCCTGTCCTCAGGAGGAGGAAGGGTCACGTAAGATAACAAGCACCATCTGGGTCCGTGGAGAGGACACAGGGAAGGCGCTCAGCAGGTATCGGGAGATGCGCAGTCACTGATAGGTGCCTTGATAACTTACTTAAACTGATTTCTTCCCACCAGAATCTCTTTTGCTTCTCTCTGGATTCTCACACCCCGAGCCAAGACTCACCCCAGTGGCTCAGACACACTGTCTCTTGCTCACTTTCCCTGGAGTACAGAACATGAACCGGGCTCCAGGTAAGAGGACAGAGTGAACCCCTTTTGTCTCATTCATATTTTCCTTCTGATGGTGATTTCTCCTGCTGTCTAACAGGTCATTTGTTTTTCTCCTCACCTTTTCTTTCTCATTCTTCTCATGTTTCTATTATTTTTTTCAAATTTGCATGGACCAGAATAGTGATTATAATGTTACATTTAGTATTTCCCAAATCTCTATATAATATTTTATTAGATTAATACTTAAAGATATTTGCATGGATGCAATTTATCACATATATTATGTATATTTCATGTGTATGTTATATAGGGTATATATATATATATATATATATATATATATATATATGCAAGAGATCATATAATGATGAAACTTTTGTAAATTCTCCAGGTTTAGTCTTACCCGGTTCTTTTCTCATCAGCTGCTGTAACCTCTGTCTGGTCTCACCTCTGTGTCCCATGGGCTGCCACCCTGCCAACCCCTTCCATCCGCCTCTACTGTTTGAACTCAGCTCTGATTTAACTTTCACTTTTATAATCTCTTCCCTCCCCAAAGTACAGACTACATGCAGGGAGATTTTCTTTCTTTTGCCTTATCTACTTGGACACTATTTGTGTTTATTAATCCAGTGTTTCTTGAATATTTTTGTGAATCAGGAGTGCCTTGGACTTCTGACAAACTTGTCCTTACTGAGTAATGGAAGAAAGATCAACAAAAAAGAAAATTTTAAAGTCACTCTATTGGCTTCCCCTCACATTTTGGACTTTCTTGTCCAAGGCCACATTCCTGATGTGACATCCTTTGCGTGGAAGAGAAAGTCACAGTAAGATCATGGATGCCATTGGATGCCATTGGCTGTTGTTTTATTTTCAGAGCTGGATTTAGAGCCCTCTGTTGGAATGAAGAACCCTCTGCATCTAGAAGGTGATGCAGTTGAAGGCTCAGCAGACAACACTCAAGGACATCAAGTCACTGGCCACATTCATGCCTCAAGTGTCCTGAAAACAAAGGCTATTAAAATAAAACTGTGGTTCAGCAAGTAGATTTCCCAACCTTCATGCTTAGGGTGCAGAGGTAATCCCACCTATGAGTCTTAGCTGCACTCACATCTTATTTCTGTCTGTCTATGGTGTCAGCTTATCCTCTCACTGCTTTTCCTCTTCCATTTGTTCTCTCCGGTGTCTGCTATAACCTCTCTCTTATCTTCCCTCTGTGTGGCACCTCCCCCAATCCCCACATTTTTTCTGTCCCCATCTCTTTGCTCCCTGAACTGTTCTATTCCTCCTCCTTCTGCTTTCTTGAGAGTTTCTCTCATGGCCACTGGAGTGCCAGTCCTCATTGTCTTCATCCAACTGCATAGTTTAAGCTGCTGAACACAGGGTTCTTTGCTGGCATTGCACAATCTCTTGGGAAATTTACCTTTCCTCCCAGCATTCCCAACTCCATTATCTCTTTCTGAAGAAAGCATTGCTTTAATACATCATTTACACGTATGTTTTTCTCTTGATTCGGCTTTTTAGCAACCCAACTCATTCAACTCTTAATCTTCTCTTGTTCCTCTGAATGAGAAGTGTTAAAACTGAGCACAAAGAGTCCCATTTAGAAAACTAAACTAGAATCAGGTGGGAGTTCCCTACCGGCCTGGAGTTAGGTTTGTCTTCAGCTCCAGATCTGCAGACTTGTGCCAATGTAGATGGAGTTGCCATGGATTCAATGTTCTCACCTCATGGAGTCATTTGAGCTGACATTAGCTGGAGGACATTTATGACATTATAAATGGACATCATTTCAAAAGTACATGCAGAGGGAAGGACTTTAGAACTGCATACATCGTGAGGTACATCATTCTACCCTCTCTCCTTTTTATTCTCATTTCCACTTCTACAAGTCCAGTTAATAGTCTAAAATGCAACTCAGATGAATCTTGAGGCAAGTTTATATGAGATGGCATTTTCTGAATTAACTTTGAGAAAAGTGACTCCACAACCAGCTTTATGCATACACAAGATGACAGGAAAGAATCTATCCACAGGACAGTCTTTGCTTTGGCCCAGCCCAATTGATAAGAGAGAGATTTCATTGAAGTTGTCAGAGAGAAGACTAAAATCCATGGAAGCATTGGGAACAAAAGCAATCATGATATAAACAGCAAAAGGAAAGAAAATGATGGAAAATTGGGTTGTTCTATTTAATATCTCTACCACCTGCTGCCATGTAATAAACACCTGGTGAGATTTCAATTAAGATGAATGCCTTGAACTCACACCTTGAGATTCTCACTTACATGGTCCTGGGGTGTGGTTTGGGTGTGTAGTAGTTTTAAAATAGTCCCATGTGACTCTAATCCGTGGCTAAAGATAAGAAGGACCACTGGTCTTCTATGATCTCAGGTTACCAACATAGCAGTGCCCCATGTGTGCAGCTACTCCAAAGGCTGAGCCTCCTGTCAGCCTTTGATGGGACCTATATTCCCCTCTCAACAGCACTGTTTGTATAGCACAGAAAAAATCAATAAGAAAAACAAGAAAATTAATAGGTTAGACCTTTAGCCTCTGCTTGAAGCTCACTTGCTCAATTTTGAATACAAGATAAAGTGAAAAATAGTCATTACATTAACATCTAATGTACAGAAATAATACTTCCCATATTATATATAGTGGAATTTAGTATTTTCTTTGGCAGTTTAAAATAAAACTTCCAGTTTACATTTAACCACACAGATTTTACAGCTCACTGATTGGCTCAGCACTGCAATGTGAACATTTTACTTTCGGTCAGTTATTGTCCTTCTGCAAAGCCCTGAAAGAGAATTTACTGGTCTCACTCTTCTGAAGAGAATGCAATAAGGAATCAAGACTGAAATAATGCAAGAGCTCATATATGAATACTTCTTTATGCCACTCTTGACACTGACATTACATATTAAAAAGTAAACTTTCCCCAAAATATACTTTGGAAAAACAATGAGTTGGAGGAGAAAATGTAGTAAAACACAAACTAATTTATTTCACTTTGTACTTTAGAGTTTTGTTGGTCTACATATTGAGAAGATTTCTAGAAATCCCGTAAGGTGTAACCAGGTGTGGAATCAACCTCCAGACATTAGGGAAAATAAGTAGGATCATAATTACACTCCCTGCTCTCTCTTTGTTATATCCGTTTTGAGTGTCTTTTTTTCTTTTAATTTTCTTTCTTTCCTGATCCTCTTTGAAAGAATACTTATAAATATATTTGTTTTTTCTTAAAAAATATTTTAACCAACCTAACCAGCACCACAGACATCATATTTTTATATTTCTTTGTAAAACTTTATTCCTGTCCTAGCCAAGGTGATCCAATGGCATCTCATGACTGTTGAGACCTCCAGATTGGAACCTTTCCTCTCTCTTCCTGCAATATTTATTGAAAGGGCCTTAGTTTGTGGGTTCTAATTCATGGATTTTCAATAACAAGTCATGTGGTCTTAGATCAATCATATCCCAGTGGCATCTCTACACCTCTTTTTAAAAGACTTTAAGTGGACTTGGATGTTGTCTGAGGTTTCTGCTGCTGCTTATATCCAGAATTCTTCCCATGGCCTCCTGCTCCTTCCTAGAAGACTGGGACATGGAGTTTAAGGGAGTGGGTTTCTCTGCAGAGGATCTTCCTTTTCTGCAGCCATCTGTCTGAGCATGTATGATTGATGCTGAGCACATCCTCACTGGGAGGAAAAGCCATCACTATCCTCCAGACAGAGGGGATCAGGAGAAAAGGGGCTGATGTTTCCCTGCTGCTGGTTGGGCATAGGCAGGGTCCCTATATCCTGCACCTTCAGGCTGACTGGAAGTTCAGGGAAATTCAGTGGTGTTTTCTTCTCACTTGTGAATTGTGCTTCCTCTTCCAGCCAGCCCAATCCTCACCCTCTGCTCAATCTCCCAGCAGGAGATTAGTTTGCCCCTGGGATATCACCAGTTAGCAATCCCTCTAAACTCAGCCTTCAAAAGAACCTGACAAAAATGCTGATTTGATTATTTTCTCTCTCTCTGTTACAGGTACCAGATACTACCAGAAGGATGCAAAGGATGAAAGGATGCCAAAAAAGTAGCTTTTCCAATTGATGAGATAAAACTAAGACAGCAAAGCAAGTCCAAGTCAAATACAATGACACTGCAGGGAACCTTCACAGAGGATTGAATTTTAGAACACAGAATGCTATCGCTGATTTCAACCCACCAGGCTCCTTTGATTTGAGAAGCCACAGTCCATCCTAGTCCAATTGTGATCAATACCTAGGGAGACCAATTCTCAGATGGACACACAGCATTGACAGGCCTTAGCCCTGCTCCTCTCAATTTCTATCCTGTAGAGAACAGAAGTCCAGAGCCACTGGGATAAGACAGCATGTCATCCAGGACTCTGCTAGGGTAAAGTATGAGCAATGCCATGTTCTTGCTGAAAATGTTTAGCCTGAATTTAATCCTCAGACAATTGCAAAATGTAGAACATTGAACAGGACAACTGACCTGTCTCCTTCAAACAGTCCATGATACCACCAAGAACACAGCAAAAAGGCGAAGAGTCATTTTGGGTTCAAAAAGAGTGAAAGCTAGGTAGCTTATCGTTTTTAGTCATTTGGAACCCCAAATATCTCTTCCTCTTTTTGTTGTTGTCATTGATGGTGGTGACATGGACTTGTTTGTAGAGGACAGGTCAGCTCTCTGACTCAAAGTTCTTCATTTTGAAGTCATTTGAAAATGTCCTCATGATTAAATTCAGCCTAAACATTTGGCCAGGAACACTGCAGAGTCATGCCATGAGCTTCCTACTTCAGCTCATTTGTGGGCAGAGAAGGTCCAGTGTGTCCATCCCTATTATAGTGATACTAGGATGGTCAGTTGGTTAAGGAGGAGTCTAGGAGTTCTGTCACTTGTAATGACATCTTTTTTATAATTAATTTGGCAAGTGGTTTGAAAAAGTATTAATATCCTGTGTTCCAGCAATCTTCCTATGAGCATTTTACCACCAATTAATCACCCCTGCCTGTGTCAGTTATTTATATTTATGTTTTTATGTTGGAAATTGACTTTCTTAAAATTTTACTATATACTTGCTTTTGCTGGCATTCTGTCATACAAAAGAATATTCTCTACTCAAATTTTAACTTGCATCCAAAATTAATTTTAGTCTATTAAAGTTAAAATGTTTAAGTTTTAAATCTCTTTAATTAAATTTTTTTGACTATCACTCTGGACTAGTGGATTTTTTACATGCAATGTTTTAAGCTTTTATTTTATGATTGGTTTTCATGGATAAAGACATAGATTAGTAAAAACATTCTTATTTCCCTGTTTATATTCTAAACTCTCCCATATTTTACTTTATATTTACCATATGTAGTATATTGTATTTACTGTATTTGTCAATGTAGTTTTCTTTGTGCATTTGTGTGTGCATGTGTGTGTGTGAGAGAGAGAGACTTTTGTTTGTTATTTAGGAAGGGTTGTATATTTCCTGTTTAACATTGCACTAAAAAGGTTTTGACATCACCAGTCTCTTTTTAACCTTTTGAAGTTGAAATATAACTTTCAACTTCAAATTTTTACCAGTATGAAAAAGACATTATTTTCCCGTTCTCTGACCCCTTTACCTCCCATTTCTGATAGTGTTATTTCAACCCAAACATATGCCAGTGACAGCCTATGTCTCCCACCTTGTCCCCAACTTGGTTTTTGGTTTAGATCCATGATTAAATATGTTGATGCTCATAAGTTACTCAAAAGTGTATGTCTTAGTCATCACTTACTGAGTAGTATTCATCCTTCACAATGTCCTCATAAGAGAATCACATCTCTCTGAGTTTTGCGTCCTTAAACTTTTCCTAGTGCCTTGGTACATGGATTACCTCACTTGATATAAGATATTTGCCAAAAAAATGATTTTTCTTGAGATTTTAGGAAATATTATCTTGCTTTAGGGAACATGCATGTTGTGTGTTCTCATTCTGGGACTCTATTTGTTCTACCAGGACCTTTAGTTTCTGCCAGTTACTTCATTCATTCTCTTC